TATTTTAAAATTCATAATTGTGCAATTAAAAACTTATAGGTACCTACCTTCATTAATTGAGCAGTTTCCACTTTTAGGTGGCTTCATTAAGGAGTATGCTGTTAACATTCGATACAATTGCATGAATGTAGGCGTTGATGGATGGTCATTTGGCCCAGAAATTTGTCTAATTATACCAAAAAATTTCTATGGATTGAAATAATCAATTAAACTAAGTGAATTGTATTTTATTATTTTTATTTATATCTCACTTCTAAATTATCTTGGTTCATCTTGGCAGTTAACACATATGCAAATTTACATACATTTAGTAGATATTGAGAAAGTTCAATTGTTGACTTTATCGTAACTCTAAGTCCCTCAGATGTTTGATGTGTTAAAAATTCATTATCTTTTATCAGCCCTTGATTCACATTCATTTCCCTAGAATCTAACCATTCCATAGCTTTATTTAGAACCTATGATTGTTATTAAATAAAAAAAGTCAAGAAATTATTTACACTTTTTTAAAACACATATTTGATACAAATTTTTTTCCCAAAATGATGAATTTAAACATATAATACAAATAGTTTTCCAAAAATGAAACCAACTCCAACATATGACACAAATTGCTTTCCAAAAATGAAACACACATGATATAAAAGCTTGAACATACTAAACAAGAGCACATGCAACACAAAATTTTGTTTCAGATTAAAAACCTCAAAATCTTTAGAACCATTACGAATTCCTTCTGCAGAGTATTTACGATTTAGCGCATCAAATAAATTATTTATCATCAGAGTAAAATCCTCTGTTTCTTCAGAGTTTTTAAAAAGTTCTTTTTCCCTATTTCTATAAAATCTGATTCCAACAGCCATAGACTTGCTAAATATCTGAACAATGCAATGAAGTTTAAATAAGTATTTTTTTTTTTATTGATTCCTATCAATTATACTTCATTAAATATATTCTATTATTTTTATTTACCTGTGTTGCAAACTTGACCTTCATTTTGGATAAATTATTTAAAACAACATGGTTTTTAGTTATTTTAGGGCATACTTTTTCTAAACTATTTTCTTCTAGATTAAATATGGAATGATAATATTCCCATTTTATTAATGATTTAGATGGATGAATCTGTAAGTGAGATATTTTGCTATAATTGATAGTTAATTGTATATATCTAGGTACTATGTTTATATTTTAGCTTACTCTTAAAACTTTTTTGTCATGTAGGCGATTCCTTATAGTTTTAATAAGATGTGGAGCATCACTGAAGACAAATACTTTTCGTTGGTCATCAAACGGACTTAAAAAGCAATTACTTAGTTGTCCCATTTTTCCACTGATACCTAGTTGATTCCACATCGTTCTGTTTGAAGAAGCACCATCAGTAGTCAAACCCACTACTTCTGCTCCTGCATCTTCTAATAGCATTATTGCCTTTATGACTAATTTAGTCAAATCGATACCTTGTAATATATGTTTTAATAAAAAACATAACAATTTTTAAATTTAGATAATATATTTAAAATACCTTTTACAGGACCTTTGGAAGCAAATACCGCCACTGGTTGGGTAAAATTATCAGCAAGACTTCCCCACATAAATACCAAACCATGATCAGCCTTTACACCTTCTCGATTTGGTATCTCTCCACCAAAATCTTCCAAGCCAGTGTAAGTTAAAGTGCGACTATTAACTGAAATACTCGACCTTAAAAAAACTTCATCAACTAATAGAATTCCCTTTTTTTGATGTGAAGTTTTATTTTGCATTTTCTTTTTAAGGAGCTTAAAAAAATTTAAGTCAAAACCACAGTCATTTTTGAATGCCAATAAATACTTTCTAATAGTATTGACACATGGCAGAGGTAAAATATTTTGATCTCGAAGAAATTTGTACCCACACGGACTTCTGAAATTTTATTTTTACTGGTAATTTTATTTTATTTCTTAATAGTGATTGACTTTAATCTTACCTTATATGAAAAAGCAAACATAATAATATCCAACTTTCGCTGTACCTTCTTTGTCTTTTATTTTTTATTTTGGCAGCATTAAATATCTCGTGCACAAGGTTAGAATCACAATCAGATAAATTTGATTTAATAATTAAGTCATTAAGAGATGATGCTTCGATTTGATTCATCTGTGATTTTACTTTGTCTAAGTTTTGCTGTACAACTTTTAGTCTTTTTTCGACTCTTGAACATTTTTGGTTTATCCTTTTCTTTGACTTCATTAAATTACTAAATTTTTCTCTTTTAGAAGGCGTTAAATGTACTTTTATTTTTTTATCATTATTCTGACGATATTTTTTTATTTTAATTGTAAGCTTAAGTCTTTTACACCATAAGCATACATCACTACAACATATTATAATATAATATAAATAAAAACAATTTACGTATAATATATTAATATGTGTAGTTAATTATTTTACTTTGTAAATGTTTTTGATTAATTACCTTTCATCATTTTTTACTGTAATAAAGCAATTTTTATGTTTCCAGTGTCCATTAAAATCAACAAATTGAGGACCGAACGAAGCTTTTACATTTTCACTTTTTATCCCTCGGCATACTTTTATAGTATCAAATTCAATTAAAGCTCTGTCTAAACTGCAAGTACTTGAAGTTATACTACAATAATTATCAATTCCAACTTTTGATGATTCCATCTTCACTCCATTTATATAAAAACAAGGTTCAGAATCTACAAAAAATATCCAATTTTAATAGAACTAGATAAGAATTGAATTGTAAATTTCAAAATATGATTTATGTGGTGAGCGTGTATATATTTATTTTAATAATTAAAATTATTATTTTATTAAGAATATCTTGCATTAAAACTAACTGTTTTTCTACAACTCTTGTTTTATATACATTAAATGGACTTAAAGTAAAATAAGTTTTTAATAGTATTGAGTTATTATGTTTTGTAACATCACAAAACCAGTTATTTGGCATGTTAATTGAACTTAATTTGTCAATCACACTGGTTTCTTCAATTATTACCTCAGATACATCATTATAGGCTACAAAGTCATCAGCCAACTAAAATAAATTATTAAACATTTTTAATATTGTTTGTATAAAGTATGGAAGTTTAAAGTAAAACATACTTCTATACATTGTCGCTTAGAACTTGGTAGTTTTATATTTAAGCATAACGAATTTCTTTTTTGAATACAATAATTATGTTCTTCCAAAATTGTAGTTACTAATGTATCCTTAACCTTAAATAAACATTACATATTCAAAATAAACTATATCAATATTTCATAATATTCTTAAACAAACCTCATCACAGATATTATAAGCTAAGTCAGATGGAAAAATTGAAGGAATGACCCCTTTTTTCAGCCTTGGCTGTCTAAGACAGATCTAATAAAAAAAGTATACACAA